GGGGTGGACTACATGACTTCCTGAGGTCCCTTCCCACCCTAATTTTCTATGATTCTATGGGGGGGTGTAGAATGGTGGCAGTGTTAACTGCTGCAACTATGGGAGCCATGGCAGTTAATACTGCCACCACTCCCCCTGCCACTGCCATCTTCCCAGGCCCAGGGGGAGCCCTCCTCCCCATCTGTGCACTGGATTAAGCCAGCGCATGGGGCTGGCGTAGAGCTGGACCCAGCATGTGGAGTCTGACCTGGCACATGGCTCTGGACCTGACATTCTAAGTCTGAACCTGTGCATTAGCTCAGGGACCACCTGCCAGGATGTACCTGGTCCACCAAATCCAGACTGCACACTGGCTCCAAGGCTGTGTGCCAGGTCTGACCCAGCATGTAGCTCCAGAGCCAGCATGTAGTTCCAAACTTGGCATGTAGCCCCAGAGCCAACCAGTCAGCCTATGGGCCTTATCTGATGCATGAATATGGCAGCAGTGTGGGGAGCAGGTTTGATTCCCCACTGCCACCACTTAATTTCATCAAAGATATTTTTTTCTTCAGGTTCCCCTTCAAAATCAAGGTGTGTATTATATATGGGGGTGTGTTATATACGATAAAATATGGTATTAACAGTATTTGAAGAGGGGACAAGAACCAAAGAGCTCTCCCATCTTATGGAAGTGCCCTTCTTACTGACTACATGTGGTGTCCCATGAGCAAGTGGAACAACATGATGGATCCAGAGGGGTTTTACAGCAGGGGTCCAGCTTAGTTCTCTCTTTCCCTCACACCTCTCCTAAGATATCAAGATATTTCTGTACCATGTGGTATCTCGATTGGGTGAATGAGACACTAAAGTTGTGTGACTGGTCCAAGAAATGCTCAATGTTACCTGCTCTGAATCATTCTTTCCTGTCCCTGATTGGGAACTGAGGAAATTGCTTTCTCAAGTCCTGGCCTGGGAGTTGGGCTGGAATATTTTAGGAGAGATTTTTGCACAGATTTAAAGTAATTTAGTTAAGGCTGTGATTACTTATGGCTGTAGTTAAATCAGTAAACCTTTAGATTAAGTACAGACAGTCAAAAGGCCCAAAGTGGAATTGATTCAATCTTTGCAAGTTAGTCTAAGCAGCATAGATTGAACTGATAAGCAAGTGAACAGACATTCACTTTTGATCCTAGAAATGCAGCCACATGTCTGCAGAGGCCCAGGCCAGAAGCCATGCCTCTCTGCTCAGCTGGAGCAGATAGCTTGAGCTAAAGCTAGCTTGTCCACCCTGCAAAGCATCCTGGGATGCTGGGGGACTGTGAGTTAGCTTGAATATGGAGGGGATCTGGGACAGAAGTTCAATGAAACAATTTAACTGAAATTGTTAAGTCTGATACTTGTTAAGTCTGATACTACATCCACCCAGGTTTATCTTAAACTGGTTTTGGCCATTTTGAAAGTAGTTTATGTGCACTGAACTTCTGTTATGTTACAGATCTGAACCGGTTTCCAATAACTTATACTGGTTTATGTCTAATTTCTGTCCCTAACAATTATATTAGTATAAAGGTACCTTAACAAGCCACATTTATAGTGGTATATCTGTATCTATTCTTGGGGGCTGTTTGTCTGCTTCAAGATCCATTTTAGTCAAAGCAGTAAAAAAATGTCACAAAGGCTTAAGTGAGTAACATTTAAGAGGAATTTAAAGAACTAGTGTACCTACAATTTTTTTTAGCTTTGAAATAATTAGACATACAGATTATATGATTAATATATTTGTTCCATAACATTTCTTAAATGCAACCCTAGACACAAGCATGACTAGATATCCAGATTTTTTTTTGCCATTCATCCAAAATATCAAGGTGAGAATTTATCAGGAAAATATTTAACATTTTAAAAACATTTAAAATACTTGAAAACAAATAGTTTTTCTAGTGAAAATATTTTACCACAAAATAAATAATAATCAAGAGTCATACCATCTCCAGCCTAGTGGGAGAATAACGTTCAAGCAGTTTTGAACAGGCCTCACAGGTGAATTAAGATAAACAGAAGGGTATGGATTTAAATAGCAGAGGTTGCTATCCCTATGAAAAGGGAAGCTCTATTCCTTCACCTCCTGTTTCTTACTGTAGGCACTTAAATGGGCCCAACTGTAAACTGGATTGATGTTGCGGCAGGCCTAACATTCGTAGAAGTTCTTCATATTAATTTCTAAGTCTTATACCCTTTAACTAAGCCTACCAGGCCTCTATCAATGTGACCTAAATAGAAAGATGACTTCCTGACCCCAAAACACATGATCAATCAGACCCATAGCAAAATTTAGCTTCCAACTATAGGGAGGGAACCAGGGCAGCTAGAGACCAAGACGGTCTTCAAAACTTGGGTGGAGATTTACAATAGGGATAAAGGGGACATCAAGTCCCCATTCACTTAACAGGCTAACTGAGGTGAAGAGCCCCTGGAACAGAAGTCTATTCTTGAATTCCTCACTTCCCTGGCTTGTCTGATCAAGTTACTTACCCAGCAAGACAGGGAAGTGAGCACTCTCATTACTGGTCAATATATTTACTGGACTCTTTTGTACATATAACCATTTCCTACTGCGCACAGTCAGTGAAATTCAGCCTTAGGCCTTATGCAGTTCTTCCTGGGTGAAGTGAGACTTAAGGAGCACGTAGGGCTTTGACCAGGTCCTCTGTACAGAAATAAACTTTCACCCTATACAATTCAATGTGATACAAGCACACAATTTATAAAAGACTGTGTGCTAAAATAAACTGAAACCAAACCTGTAGTATAATTATTTGCAGTAAAGCCGGTTTTACTACTATAATTGATCCTTTCTTACTTTTGAATCTGAAGCAAAACATTTGCTTTGCTCTTGCAGATATTCTGACGATATCTAAATCAACTGTATTCATCTCAGTATAGCAAGAATGATGTAATAAGGGCTCCAATCCAAGAGGGAAGAAAGAAACTGAAAGATCTTTCGTCAAGCAAGTAATGTTGAAGACAGAGATGGGTTAATAACTTGTATAAACATTCCACAATGCCTAAACAGACTCCATGTTCTCTTGGGCCTTTCCATACTATTTTTTTTATGCAGAGCTACTTTTGTGCCAATCCCTTTATCATCAGTAAGTGTCAAGTTCCATCCCTGTGAGATTGCTTTTTCTTTGTATAAAAAGGAGTAACCCAGTATAATTTTAAAAAGAGATTATAAGTATATTTAAACATTTCTGTCATCTTACCTCAGCTCTCTTCAGCATCTCCCATTTATTTAGTATTTTCATTGCAAAAACCTTATCTGCATTTTTCAGTTTTACTACTGCAACCTGAAAAAGATAAATTGGGAATGAATAACCTAACATGCAAAAATAAGAGTTTAGAACAAGTTGTCTTTGTGTGATCTTTGTGGAACTGGATTGCTATGTTGCTTGAACTTGTTTTCATTCTTATAGGTTTTTGGACCCTTTGATGTAGGACTTTAATCTGTGTATATGATGCTCAAGCAAGTATTAATCATTACAGTTTTAAGGAGAAATTTCATAACTATACAGAATACTTGCTGTTGGGTTTGGGTTTGTTTTGGGTTTTTTTACAAGTTTTCAAATTCACTTTAAACCTTCATGGTGTATAGATGTATACTGCATTAAAACAACTGAAAGATAACATGTCAACACAGCACTTCCTGTCCCTTCTATTCTGCTACCAGACTAGTACTGAATACATTTCCAGGACATGGAATGGATTCTTAAGCCCACTCTTTTCCATCACAGCAGCAGAGATGAAAGAGCTCCTGGGAGTCAGGTTCCCAAAGCCAAGAAACATTTGAATGTCTGCTGGCGAAACAAAATATTTACTTGAGATTTGCTAGAGGAAAATCCAGCTAGAAAATTTTTTAGCCCCATTTAAAAGAATAGGGAATGTTACAATATGGTAAAATTGTTTTAGTATACCATTGTTGCCTCGAGGATCTCAATACCATCTCTTTATACCTTGTGGGACTGTAGCTAAATAACATCATTCAAATTTATGGATGGGTAAATTTATGAGATTATAATTCTTATTTGATATCTGCATTAAATGTCAGAGGTGCATTTAACAATTTATCATGAGAATGAAATGCACAAGGTATACATACATTGCACAGCACAGCACTGTGTAGAGATACACTGTATGGAGTTCTAATTGAGAAACAGTGAACATATGCCTGGATGGAGCCCATGGTAATGTGGTCATGTTGTTATCCAGTACTTAAGCTAACTAATTTTGCATGACCCCAAGTGTCTCACTGTAGTGTTGTGTTTTGCAGTGTGGCTATGTTCACAGACTCTTTGCCTGAAGATTTTTTAATGTAAATTAATATGACAAGACACAAGGTAGGATTACATCAGGCAAGACAGATTACAACTTTAGACAAGGTACACAAGAGGAACAGTCTAAAGTCCCCTACTTTGGATAAACCATAAGTCTGAGTATCTTAGCCGAAATGTCACGCATGAAACATGTGGCAGAACTCACCATACAACCCAGAATTTTGAACCACTGTATTGTGACTGAAGACCAAGACTATTGGGAACATTATCCCACAAATATGGAAAAATTCAACATTGTATAACTTTGAAAATTCATACATCTACAACTAAGTCCCTTTCCTTTGAAGAGGAAAGAGGGCTCTTAAGGCATAAGGAGAGAAAAGGTTATTTTTGTATCCATTCTGGTTACAAACCAGAAGGCTGTCATAAGAATTAGCATCATCTTTAGCCTGCAAGTTAGCGACAAAAAAAAATTAAGGTTGAACTCTACATTCCTTTCTCTTTCATATTCAGCAACCTGGCTATATGCCAAGAAAGTAATAACATAAAAGAAAACCCAATATATAATGACAGTTTGGTGAAGACAATGTCACATAAGGCTCTTTTCAACCCTCTTTTCAAAAGGTCGTATCATCTCTAGTAGCTGCATCAAGCTAGCAAAGATGTATACTGCACTCTATCTACAATCCTTACAGGCGTCTTCAACAGAATTGCATTCTCTCTCTGTCAGCTATAAATTGGGTGGAACAGCTATTAATTCCCTGAGGTGCTGTAGCCCTGCCCTTTTTCATGCCCCTCCCATTATGAAAACAAAATACAGTACAGGCCAAATGAAGGGAGAGAAGGATAAAAATACAAAGGCAGTGGATCTAGATGTTTAAACTAGTTTGAGAGTAGTCTAAAACACTAATAAAGTGATATTTAGAAATGTATTAGCAGATTGTGTTCAACCCAAGGTCCTCTATTAAAATTCTAGGACTGCCTATGATCAACATGTTTTTAAGACTGTGGCGTTTAAAACTGTGTTAGCTAAAACATAATAGTTTTTATATTTATTTAGACATGGCCAATAGAACCAAACAGTTTCATAACTTTTATTTTGCACAAGTTTCTAGCCTTCTATCATGTCCCTAGGTAAAACCTGCTTTGTCAACACAAGATACAGAGTCACATTTAAAATATTAGTTAAAATGTGTTCTCATGCATATCCTGTTTTCTTAGTCTAAATGTAACTACTGCTAACTACTGCTGTTTAACAACCAAATAGCCCACTTTGCTTGTTAAAAATACTTTGCTTGGAAGCAAACAGTAGAGAGATTGTGGAAAGAAGCCAATTTTAAGGAAGGTTCTGAAGAAAAGGGAAGAGGCTCCATTGTCTGATTGCTGGTACCCTCAGTATGCCCATAATACACAAACTGTGGTTGGGGTGTTAGAAGAGATGTTGAACAAGCTTTGAGCTCAAAAGCTTGTCTAATCGCTCTCCCAGCTATACAGTGGTCCAATAAAAGATATTACAAAAACCCTTTGCCTCTGGATCATCATGGCTACAACACTTCAACCCTACTGCAAACTATGGTCGCCTATACACGTGCTGGTTCATGTTCTAAGTGGAACGCATCAGAGCAGACTCAATTTACTCCATGTTCTAAGTGGAACACTCCAGCATAGTCTCCTCATCACGTGTATCAGCCCCTGCAGGTTTAAATATGGCCGCTGGGGCACTTTATCTAAACTTCATCAAATGAGGTTCAGATAAAGCATCCCTCAGCCATTTTTAAACCCACAGGGGCTTAACACACGTTCCCAGCTTTCCGGGAGCCGCTCTAATTAAAATGCTCATCCCACCTCCAAGCACATGTATAGGCACCCTTTGGTTTTACACACACATGCACATGCAGAGAATTCAATGCAAGTTTCAAATGACAGAAGAAATAGCTTCTGTGAAAAACATGGGAAATCACTGTATTATTTTTATGAAAATATGTGCAGCTGTTTCTTCCACTCATTTTTCTATTGTTACCTACTAAGAAAGAAGCACAAGGGACTGGGTAGGATTCATAAAAGCAATAGATTTATCCACTGATAGGAAGGAACTATGGATAACAGTTAACATGTAAATAGGAGCTACCTTGGAGTGACAATAGAAGAGCAATGACCAGACATTGGCTTTAAACAACTTCCAGCCAAGGAAGGCAGAACATGTGAAAACAACATGACTGCAACTTGAAATAAAGAACAGAGGTATGGGCAGACTGGGTTAATTAGGTGGTTGCTGCTCAGTGCTGGGGTTATTTTTTATGAATCCTGGACATTTTGAGACCAAAGTTTCAAGTTAGGGTGCTGGGTTCAGCATATTAAGTTGTGCTTTCCAATTCTGACCTGCAAACCCTACATACTATACTCCAACAAATTAATAAAAGCTGTCTTGCTTTGAAGGGCTGTCCTGTGTCACTGAAAAATACCTGTTGGTTGCATAGCTCTCTAAAGGGGTCAGTCTCCAATGCAGGGTTCATTTTCTTCTGGAACCAAATGAAAGGCAGAATTTTATTTCACTGCTGATGTATAAATATTGCTTATGCAGTTTTTAAGCTTCTAAGTCACTCAGCAACATTATACTTCATACATCCAACAGCCTGAATTGTGTGTAAAGGCCTAGTGTCATTACAGTCTCACCCTATATGATTAAATTCCTCCCCCCCTATCCCTCCATATACTTAGAAATGATTCACTACTGCCTCAGAGGCATCTATGTCCACTCAGTTCTGCCATGGGAACACAGAAGTGTTGCATGCATACTCCAAATTGTAGTCGATCAAAAACCAGGACTAGCACATATTTGATCTTGAATTGAGACCAGTCACCTTCCATCTATCAGTAACCTGGCAATCAAGGCACCTGCTCAGGACAAGGGTAACCCATGTTCTAGGTTCTTCTTCCCCTGAGAGGATTTGAACCCTGACCTCCCATATCACATGACAGAAACCTAATCACCAGAAGGCAGGCTCAACAGGGCTGGGAGAAATGTCCTACTGGAGCTAAGCTGCTGGGCAACCAAACAGAAAGCATCCCAAGATTGGAAGTACAAATAGGCAGAAGCCTGACTATGCTGCCTTGGTAAGGGAAGGGATAAGCCCTTGCTCCCAATGCTGTTTGTGCATTTTGCCCTACAGAGTCATTGGAAAAACTGCATCATGAGCATTATGAGCAAATTGTCTGCTTCCACAGGTTGGAGCATGATGCTCCATAGGCTTTAAGTCCCTTCCCCATGCGGTTGAAACAGTCATCAAGACTACACTATATGGAAACACAGATTGACAGCCCTCATTACAGTACTCTTAGTAGGCATGAACCTGAATCCCTAAACAGGCAGGTGTGTGTGCCTGTGTCTGGACAGCAAAAAGAAAAAGTCTGGTGAATTGACAGAAGAACATTTTCATGTCTTAGACTTTCTTTTCAGAAAAGGAAAGTTCATATAGGGCTTAGACAGATGTTCAGTTTATCCAGGGAGAGTCCCTGCTCTCTCAGGAGAAACCATGAATGTACAGAAGTTCATAATCTTTCTCCCTGAGTAAAAGTGGCCCCTCTGGGAGAAAAATAACTCGGGAACAACCCAAGTGAAGTGGCTCTCTGGAGAATCTCTCTCAGGAGACAGAACTTCTGTACAGGCAGCCAGTGTGCTTTGTGCTTCTTTCTTGCCCTCCCACAGACAGAGGCAGAGCATGTGTCAGTCTCAGGCAAGCAGGGAGCAGAGCACGTCCCCAAGTGCTTATAGCTGGAAAAGCCCAGCACCAAAGCACTTAAGGGGTGTATTTTGCTCCTGCCTTGTTCCCTGCCCGAATTGCACTGTAGCACTTGGGTGCTGGCAAGCATACTGCATACTCCCTGCCCAGCCACAGCCAGGCTGGCACTCAGCTCCATGCACAACACAGACCTTACCCCCACCTTCCCCAAGCCTGATGATCCCTGCTTACATTCACTTAAAAAAAAAAAAAAAAAGAAGCCTGCAAAGCAGTCTGGGCTTCGTGCTCTAAGGACCCCAGGCAGTCTAGCCGTCCTGCAGGCCCTTTGCTTTTTCTGACCTTCTGTACAGTCAGTTTTTCTCTCAGGAAAACAAACCTGGAAGAGCTGTTCTGGATTATTTGAATTTGTGTATGCAGCCGTATGTACAATGCTCAGCGTTTCTCCAACCTCCTGTCATTAGCCTACCCTGCCTTGCCAGCTGACTCTCTCCCACTGTCACATATCCTGTGAAAACATACTCCTTACCACCCACTCAGCTCACTAATGAATGATGATCCTTTTGTTTTCAGGTAACCTGTGTGTGCTCCAGGCTAGGTTTCCTTTCTTACTGGCAACTCCAGTGGTCTAGATCTTACCCTGTTACAAAAATGCAATGCACAAGTGCTGTATCTTACTGCTGCATTACTTAAGGATAAATGCCACTGTATGTGATGCATTTATCATTAAAAATGCACAAATCGCTATGGGAGCAAGGGCCAGAAACCCAGGCATCCCTCCCTCTTTCCTGGTACACAGGCTTATGTCCCCTTCTTGTTTACTCTACTGCTGGCTCCATGACTCTCTGTTTTTTGGTAAGACAGTGGGCCAGCTTCAAGAGGAGGATGGTGAAAGGTGTCTGCCCCATCACTTGGGGAACAGGGTACTCTGTTGGGACACAGGAAGTGCAGGTTCAAACCCCCTGAAGCTGAAAGGGGCCTAGAGCCCAAGTTTCCAAAGTGCTCCAACCCCTAGGCCAGTGGTTCTCAAATTTCTTAGACTAAAGGCATGGATTAAGCAGTACCTGACTGCATCCTTAAAAGATTTTGTGGCACCCTGGTTGAGAATCCCTACACTAGGCTATTTATGATAGTGATGGAGGAGAATCTTTATGTGGGCAAGGGTAAGTTGAATTTCAAGCAGACAGATATGTCTTGGCACTGGCTGAAATTCCCCATTGGACTGGACAGTCACATGCCTCCTGGGTAATTGAGAATCAGACTCTGGGGGAAGGTGCTGCCCACTGAAATGAATGGGGGAACTGCATGATTCTCTGAGGGCGCACGATCTACATGATTGCTCCCACTGAAGGTATAGGAGAACTGCACGTCCACATAGGAAAAGCAGAATTCCTCTCTTAATTCGGTCATGTAATACCTCCGCAGACCAAATCTGGCCAGAGTGGTGCTTCACTCTGGTGGATGAATCATTTCCGGATCTGATCCACAGGGCTTCTTGCTGCAGCTGCTTTGGGTATTTTGCCGGTGTCGGCAATGCCCAGGAAGCTAAGGCAACCCCACCCTTTAAATATCACTGAATTCTCAATTTGCAATTATTGTTCAGCATGCAAACCAGCAGCGAGGCGGTGGGTGGTGGCAGTGTTAACCTCCATTTGCTGGCTATGCCAACACTACAGCCCTCATAGCCACAGCAACAGGCCCCGCAGACTGGATCTGCTAGTGGGTTTTTCTGGCCCATGAAAAGCCCTGCGGTTGGGATTTGGTCTATTAACTCATTTGAGTTTGACACCCCTGGTGTAAGACAAGACTTTTCCAGAAGCTACATATTAGTCTATTGGGTAAAACAGAATTTAGCTTGATATAGCTATTGGGTTCACCATTGTACAAAGTGGGAACGTGGTCTAGAGCTAAAGGGGTACACTCCCAGAGAATCTGTATAAAGGTCAAATCCATGACAGCTTTACTGAAGGATAGAAAAGAAGAAACTGGACCAGCTGGCTTTACAGTTCATCAATACCAGTCTTTTATTCTATGAAACCCATAAATGCTATCCCATGTCAACAAAAAATACTAGAATGAACTGATCATCATTTTTAGGCATCTATTATCATAGTACATTCTTGTGGTGTACATAGTTTCAGAGTGCGGTGTGATGTCTGTTTAATGTAAGACAGTAGATTTTAGGGAGATTACTAGGCCTTGCATAGCTCAAAAAAAATGTTGGCTCTTTTAAAACAAGACTCCTGTCTTGAGCAGGGGGTTGGACTAGATGACCATGTAAGGTTCCTTCCAGCCCTACTTTCCAATGATTCTAAATGGCTGAGACTATGGTAGTTACAACAAACAACATTTAAAAAAAATTCTAAAGCATTATATAAATTCTACTACACATATCATACATAGAACATACACACATAAAGGGTGCCCTTTTGATGCTCAGTTATCCTCAAGAACCTCTTCGAGCTGCCAAAAGAAGAAAGAACTACTAATCTTCCCTGTACAGTTATCCTAAAATGGTTCCTGGAACTTATTAAACTGGACATTTAAAGTTTTTCAAAATTTATTTTTTCCTGTGAGCAGCCGACTAAAAATGCTTGGTATGTGCTGATGTAAACATTTTGGTTTCAGTTGAATTTTATTTTCTCTTTCATTCTTCTAGCAGTTTTCCATATTTCCCACAAACAAATATGCTGCCTGGCACACTGTCAAATTGTTTCTGCCCCTTATAAACAAAATTTCTCATCTTTATGCTGTGTCTTCATGCTTCTCTTTGCCTCCCCAAGCATTTTGTAACAGAATCTATTAAAAAAAAACCCAACAAAAAAACACTAATACTAAAATATCTCTTTGTTCTTGGCTCAGCAGGGGTAAGAAGCAAGAGGCGGGCTTTTCAAAGGGCTCTAAGGAAAAAAAAATCAATGGGTGTCTACCTCTGTTAGCTTTTCCTGAGAAGTCCATCTGACATGATCAGCCCT